GCCATTCGAGTGGTGGCAAATGACAAGCAGATTGTCTTCTAAAATCAAATACAAATACAAATACAGGGGATAAAAAAAAGGGCAAAGAATCTGGGAACTGGAATCAAATCAAACCGAATCAAATCAAGTGCTGATTGCACAGCCTAGGGCAGTGTTGGCCTTGCATAATAATTGAGATGGGGAAGAGTGTGGATTGTAAATTCTTGTTATTAGAACGGCGCTTCATATGCAAATATCCCAGTCTCCACTCCAATTAGCCAGCGTGGAGGCGTCAATTGCTTGGAATGGCTTCCATTCGCTGTGAACCCAACATTAAGTGCGCTAATTATAAATGGAAATATTTATGTATTTCCTAGCACCTAGCGAATACTGCCTAGCGCATAGCGCCTAGCGCTTTTCTCAACCTGTGAAGTTGTCGCGGCAACAATGAAGCCAATTATGGAGGCGACTCTTGGAGACCGTGCACCTGTCGACTCTCGTCTGTCTCGGCTGGGCTGGGCTGGTGTCGTTCTCATCCTTGTCCTTGTATTCGTTTTGGCCCAGGTGAAGACAGCTTCCTGCCGGCAGCGGTGTCCTCGCCGACAACGTCTCTCTCGTCCTTCTCTCGTCTACGGTGTGACTGTTCCTGTGCCTCCTCGGCGCAATCAACGGTTGTCAATCTTTGTTGCAATCTTCATTTCGCCATCGCCTTGAGTGGTAGGAGCTTGTGTGTCTGCTGCACTTTGCAATTTAAACGATCCAACTGCTGTTGGGCTTTCGTTATGCATGAGCAGAAGGAATGAATGCCAAATGGGCTAAATGCAGCTGCCTGGCGCTTATAAGCCAGTCGATGGTCTTGCTCTATTTTGTAAAGCCATTCGATACACAGAAATAAATGCGAAATATGAAAGTTATAGTTTCCTGAAAATAATTTAGAGAAGAATTTTTGGAAAAGAAATTAGCAGACAATTCTTTAAAGTAGTAAAATAATATTTTAAACCCCAAAATCACACTAAGCATCACACTAAATTCATATTTATGCCCAAAAGTATGCCACGATTAAATGAAAACAGCTTTTCGGATCAAAGCAATTGAAATTTCGGACTTAAATATACTTTTGCATACTTTTAAACACGCTGATTTGGGTGGCTTCTTAGAATTAATTTATCTAGAGTTCCTACAGCTATCCATTGAATAGTGGAATTCCATTATTTCCTAATGACTTCATTTTGATTATTGATTCACGAATTTAAATGTTACGAGCTGCATTAAAATATCAATTTTTGGCCATTTTTCGCAAAAATTTATGACCCCTTATCGGAAATGCTTAAAATGGCAAAAAGTGAATTTCATCTCATCAGAAGCACTGGTCGTTAGCTTCACAAAACAGTCGCTTTTTTTTTTAGCTATACGTCTTGTTTTAACCAATTTATTGCTTAAAAGCCGATAAAAAATTGTCAAGATTTGGTGTAAAATCTTAATTCTGATTTTGCTCCCAAAAATTTCAATATTTTGACAAGAGAAATGTAAAAAATGGTTTAAATATGGAATGTTACATAAGGTTCAGCTCGTAATTTAAATTCTAGTAGAACTGCATTCCAGCCTTGAAAGGTCAATATTTTGCCATTTTTCACAAAAATTGATGATGGTACCCTAATCGAAAATGTGAAAATTTGCAAAACATGAATTTTTTTCAATCAGCCTTTAATTTACAAGGTTCTTAGAGCTAGTCGTTAGCTGCACAAAACAGTCGTTGCTTTGGCTGTACGTCATGCGTTGACCATTTTATAGCTTAAAAGGTGATAAAAAATCGCCAAACATACATAGCTTAAAAATCTTTATATATTTTTGCGTCTAAACATGACAGAATATTAGTCACTATTTTGCCAAAAATTGCTCAAATTTGGAATGTTATATCTCGTAGGGCTTGTAATTTGATTGCTATGATGCCCAATCGATTTGCACTGGAATCAGGAAAACTTCATTTTCGGCCATTTTTCGAAAATTTTGATGATGGTACCCCTTATCAAAAATGCGAAATTTAGCCGAAAATTGATTTTCCCGATATCGAAAAACGAGTGATAGGGTTGGTAAGTGGTGGTCGATAGCAGCACAAAACAGTCGTTCTTTTGGCTGTGCGACTTGTTTTGACCGAGCTAGAGCTAAAACCCCGAACACACTATTGCTATATCTGTTAAAAATAGGGTTCCTGATTTTTCAGCCCTTAAACCGGAGCTAGCAAGAAAATATCAAAACACTAATGATAAAAGCAAGTATAGGGCCTTAAAGTGTTGGTTGTTAGCTGCATAAAACAGTCACTGTTTCAGCCGTGCGTCGTGTTTCGACAAAGTTAGAGCTAAGAAAGGGCAAGAATCTGGGCTCTAAACGACGTATACTTGACCTTGGGCCCCAAAAAATCAGTTTTTTAGCCATAGCACAGCCAAAAATGGTCCAAATATGGAATGTAATACCTCGTAGGGCTTGTAATTTGATTGCTATGATGCCCAATCGATTTGCACTGGAATCAGGAAAACTTCATTTTCGGCCATTTTTCGAAAATTTTGATGATGGTACCCCTTATCAAAAATGCGAAATTTAGCCGAAAATTGATTTTCCCAATATCGAAAAACGAGTGATAGGGTTGGTAAGTGGTGGTCGATAGCAGCACAAAACAGTCGTTCTTTTGGCTGTGCGACTTGTTTTGACCGAGCTAGAGCTAAAACCCCGAACACACTATTGCTATATCTGTTAAAAATAGGGTTCCTGATTTTTCAGCCCTTAAACCGGAGCTAGCAAGAAAATATCAAAACACTAATGATAAAAGCAAGTATAGGGCCTTAAAGTGTTGGTTGTTAGCTGCATAAAACAGTCACTGTTTCAGCCGTGCGTCGTGTTTCGACAAAGTTAGAGCTAAGAAAGGGCAAGAATCTGGGCTCTAAACGACGTATACTTGACCTTGGGCCCCAAAAAATCAGTTTTTTAGCCATAGCACAGCCAAAAATGGTCCAAATATGGAATGTAATACCTCGTAGGGCTTGTAATTTGATTGCTATGATGCCCAATCGATTTGCACTGGAATCAGGAAAACTTCATTTTCGGCCATTTTTCGAAAATTTTGATGATGGTACCCCTTATCAAAAATGCGAAATTTAGCCGAAAATTGATTTTCCCAATATCGAAAAACGAGTGATAGGGTTGGTAAGTGGTGGTCGATAGCAGCACAAAACAGTCGTTCTTTTGGCTGTGCGACTTGTTTTGACCGAGCTAGAGCTAAAACCCCGAACACACTATTGCTATATCTGTTAAAAATAGGGTTCCTGATTTTTCAGCCCTTAAACCGGAGCTAGCAAGAAAATATCAAAACACTAATGATAAAAGCAAGTATAGGGCCTTAAAGTGTTGGTTGTTAGCTGCATAAAACAGTCACTGTTTCAGCCGTGCGTCGTGTTTCGACAAAGTTAGAGCTAAGAAAGGGCAAGAATCTGGGCTCTAAACGACGTATACTTGACCTTGGGCCCCAAAAAATCAGTTTTTTAGCCATAGCACAGCCAAAAATGGTCCAAATATGGAATGTAATACCTCGTAGGGCTTGTAATTTGATTGCTATGATGCCCAATCGATTTGCACTGGAATCAGGAAAACTTCATTTTCGGCCATTTTTCGAAAATTTTGATGATGGTACCCCTTATCAAAAATGCGAAATTTAGCCGAAAATTGATTTTCCCAATATCGAAAAACGAGTGATAGGGTTGGTAAGTGGTGGTCGATAGCAGCACAAAACAGTCGTTCTTTTGGCTGTGCGACTTGTTTTGACCGAGCTAGAGCTAAAAACCCGAACACACTATTGCGAATATCTGTTAAAAATAGGTTTCCTGATTTTTCAGCCCTTAAACCGGAGCTAGCAAGAAAATATCAAAACACTAATGATAAAAGCAAGTATAGGGCCTTAAAGTGTTGGTTGTTAGCTGCATAAAACAGTCACTGTTTCAGCCGTGCGTCGTGTTTCGACAAAGTTAGAGCTAAGAAAGGGCAAGAATCTGGGCTCTAAACGACGTATACTTGACCTTGGGCCCCAAAAAATCAGTTTTTTAGCCATAGCACAGCCAAAAATGGTCCAAATATGGAATGTAATACCTCGTAGGGCTTGTAATTTGATTGCTATGATGCCCAATCGATTTGCACTGGAATCAGGAAAACTTCATTTTCGGCCATTTTTCGAAAATTTTGATGATGGTACCCCTTATCAAAAATGCGAAATTTAGCCGAAAATTGATTTTCCCAATATCGAAAAACGAGTGATAGGGTTGGTAAGTGGTGGTCGATAGCAGCACAAAACAGTCGTTCTTTTGGCTGTGCGACTTGTTTTGACCGAGCTAGAGCTAAAACCCCGAACACACTATTGCGAATATCTGTTAAAAATAGGTTTCCTGATTTTTCAGCCCTTAAACCGGAGCTAGCAAGAAAATATCAAAACACTAATGATAAAAGCAAGTATAGGGCCTTAAAGTGTTGGTTGTTAGCTGCATAAAACAGTCACTGTTTCAGCCGTGCGACGTGTTTCGACAAAGTTAGAGCTAAGAAAGGGCAAGAATCAGGGCTCTAAACGACGTATATCGTTGCGCTCGTTTTTTAATTTCTGTCCGAACAGCATTCCAGGTTTGAAATGTCAATTTTTCACCATTTTTAGCAAAAATTGACGATGTAACCCCTTATCAAAAATTAAAAAATTGGCAAAAAATAGATCTTTTCAGATCCGCACAAAACTTGTAGAGGACTTAGTTCTGGTCGTTAGCTTCACAAATCAATTATTGTTTTCACTGTACGTCATGTTTTGACCATTTTATAGCTTAAAAGGTGATAAAAAATTGCCAAGTATAGCTTAAAAAGCTTCATTTGATATTGCAAATCCTAAAATTCGCAACAAATTAAGTTTTTTCCAAATTTAAAACCCTTATATTTCTCCAAGTGAAATACCAGATGACGTATCTATTAAGACATTTAAATCTGTTTGCCACTTACAGCTAAGCGCAGCAGACAGCAGCAGCAAAATCAGTGGCAGCTGCAACAGCAGCAGCAGCAGAGCAACAACAACGGGGCACTGGCGCCAGGTGACAACATGACACAAGGAGCAGCGCCGCAGGACTCGCAAGGCGACATCCTGCCCACCCGCCCGCTGCATACCAAATTAGACATACAGAAAATCCCAGAGGACGCGGCCGGAGATGCCACACAAAACGCTGCAACAATAATTTTAACGCCGACATCATTAAATTTAACAAATACAACACAAAATGTTGCCGGCAACAATGCGGGTAACTCCAACTCTAACTCCGGCCCCGTCTCCGGCAGCAACCCAACGCCAACTCCGGGCGGAGTCCGTGGCGACGAGTACAAAGGGCCCAAATGGTAAGTGAAAAGCTCATGTGGCCAGCACTCCGGGTTGGCTGGGGTCTGCCATTGTGCGGATTTGTGCTTAACCCTTTGAATGCACTTCCGGCGGGACAGCAGCGCCGCCATTCACACTTGCATTGCACGCGTTTTTCGCATATCCGTTGGCTGCCTTTCGCATTGTATTTCGTATTTTGTATTTCGTATTTTTTTCGTTCTTCTTTTGTGCCCCAACAATGTCGCCGTCGTGGAAGTTGCCGCTGCACTAGGCAGCGGCGCGTGCTTCCGCTCTGTTTTGGGAAAGGGATCCTGTTCCGAGGTCCTGTTACCAGGCATTTCTCATTCACACACATATATATAAATGTGTGTGTGTGTGTGTGTGTGTGTAGACAACGACGTCTAGTCGCTGGCGAGCCCGATTTCTTGTTCCCTTTTTGGCTGCAACACTTAGTTTAATAGCTGGCGAAATGCCTTGTTGGCTGCAGGCGTTTATTCTTCATGTTCACAACAACAGCAATGTGGCGTATGAGTTACAGTGTTACGTATCCGACCCGTGGGTGCGTTTCTATTGTGGCGCTGCAGTCAGGGGATCCCGTCTCTTGTCTCATTTTACTTGGATATCTTCAGCAGCAGGGCGAAGAAACTGTAGGCGTTGTTGATGGTCTGCCAAAAGTTATGGGTTAGAGGGAACTCTCAAGCTATGAATTTTTAAAAGCTTGCTATCATTTCCAAAAAGTTTTCAAATAAATATTAATAGTTTTAATCGAAAATGATAACATCTCAAGCTAATTTCACCTTCACAAAGATGGGCAATCCAATTTCAAAGAACACCCCAGCTCGCACTTTCACCGGCCTCTTGAGGAATTCCATGTAGCAGTTGAGCAGCTTTCGAGTGCCCACGGAGTACTCCAGCCAATTGGTGCCAAAGACACTATTAGTAAGAGCATTGGCATGGAAGGTCAGCTCATTGCCGTAATAGCAGGGCAGGAAAATCTGAACGATCATCACGGCTACAAACTGCACGGTGGTCACGAATAGTCCAGGGTTTTGTTTGAAGCCCATGTGGATTAGTCGATAGGCACCGAAGCAGATTATGAAGGCACTGAAAACGACCTGGGAAAGGACATAGGGCGAAACTAGCACTTCACATTCCCTTGTCAAATGTCGAACTTTGGCATGAAGTTGGAATATACGTCGCAGCTCCGGCTTGGCTTTCTCTTCGGTAGTACTCTTCAAGGCCTGGAGTCGCATTCCCATCAGCTTAAAGAGGGAGGCAATCTGAAACATGAAGTAGCATCCGAGAGTGTCTAGCAGAATATTTGATAGACAACACAGAGTCATGGCCACCACATTGTAGCCCCAGGCGTAAAAATATCGCTCCTTGGTGCGCCATTCGAAGGGCACATAGTATCCAAAGGGGAGTTCGTATTCCTCCTGGAAGAACACACTAACATATCCCATTAGCGCAACAAAAAGACTTCCAGCAATGTAGATATAGAAGATCTTCTTAAAATCCCTTTGATTTCGCTGCCAGAATTGGATTTCCTCGGGACTGCGAAGATTATAGGCAGGATCGTGTTGTAATTCGTTAATGAGGTTGGCTGCTTCATTCCGTCGATACCAAATATTCAGGAGTTTAGTGACCAATGCCAGTTCGGTTATGGACATGTACAAAACCTGACCAGCTTCCTCGAAGTCAGATGAGGTGATGGCCTCATACCACATGAGTGCTATGTAGGTGAAAGTCAGTGGCACATGCAATACGAAGGGATAAATCCGTTTTAGCCAGGTCAAAAGGCCATATTCTTCCTCGTTATCCCATTTCAGAAGTCCAATCCATCGCTGGACCACCAACAAGGATTGGATTGCACTGAGACGATTCGTAGAGTCCATTATCACCAGTTTAATTTTAATTTACTAAAATAACCCCGAAGTCTCTTCAGTCTTTTATAACCCTTGGGGAGCTTTAAAAAACCTTTCTAGGTCACCTTGGGTAGTTTTTTTTGAAGCTGAACTAGGGAGGTAATATCAGACTTGTCCCCATAAGAACTGACTTTCTTCATCCTAGTTCATGCCTAGTTCCATAAAATTAGTGCCTGCATCCTTAAAACAAGATACTTTTGAAGGTGCCTATAATAAATAGCAGGGAACCAGTTCATTTAGTGAGCCAAGTTCTTGAGCTGCTCCGTCCCTGATTTGCTTAGCTAACCAGCCAAAATATTTACACAATTAATGAGCAGGGCAATTACAATAATTAGCTTGCTGACATTACTCTCCATTAATTGTTGACCCTCACTAAATGTGTAAGTCACGCAACAGAAGGCTAAGATGACAGGGGAAGTAACCCTATCATCATAATATTTGTTACTAAATTCTACGATTTGTAAAATTAGTGCAGCGAAGCATGTGAAGCAGTCAAGAGGTCTGATATGATTTTCTTTATGTTCTTTAGGGAAACAATTTTAAAATATATTAACATGATTAATGTGGTTAAAGAGAAGGTGAACTTATAGATAGGTTACCCTTTTGGTAAAGTTTTAACCTTTTAAAAACAGTCGCTGCCCAACTGTATTAAATTGCAAACTCATTTTTTGATGTAAAAATGATGTACTTTTTAATAGATAGTTTCAATTCCAATATAAAAACAATATTAATATATTTAGTTTGATATTTTTATTTTTAAGATTTATTTAACATTTCAGCATAAATTCATTTGGAAACATTCAGTAGCAGTGCAAAGAAACTGTAGGCATTGTTGATGGTCTGTAAAATCAGAGAAAAACATTTTAAAGAAAACAAAAAATACAAAGTAAAATTTTAAGACCTTGACAAAAATAGGCAATCCAACGGCGAAGAAGTTGCCAGCTCGAATGGTCACAGGTTTCTTAAGGTGCTCCATATAGGCATTTAGTAACCTGCGAATCGGTGGACGACTTTCCAGCCAATTGGTATGATAAACCTCGTTGGTCAGCTGGTTAGCATAGACGGTTATCTCATTGCCATAGTAGCAAGGCAGGTAGATCTGAAGGATCATCACACTGACGAACTGAAGCATAGCTATGAACTGACCAGGATTATCTCGAATCCCAACATGCTGCAAGCGGTATCCACTAAAGCAGATGATCAGGGCACTCAGAATGATCTGGGAGAGTATATAAGGAGACACAATTCTCTGACAGCTCTGGGTTAACCTACAAAAATTTATAGTTATTAGAAAAGAATATAGAACTTGGAAGTGGAACAAGACCTCCTTATTTTCTGATGCATCATAAAGATGCCACGCAACTCATGGCCAAAATAAGAATCATCTTCTATACTTTTAAGACCTCTCAATCTTAGGCCCAGTAGACGGTATAACAAAGAGATGTGAAATAGGAAATAGCATCCCAGAGTGTCTAAGGTGATGTTCGAGATACAGGTCAGCGTCATTCCTGCCATATCGTAACCATAAGCGAACCAGTACCTTTGCTCATTTCGCCATTCGAAGGGGACGTAGTAGGCAAAGGGCAGTTCGTAGTCCTCCAGGAAGAGCACACCAGTACAGCCACTGTATACTACTCCCAAGCTAATCAGGATGTAGATGTAGAAGAACCACTTGAAGAATCGCTGCTCCCGGCTCCAGAAAATCAACTCGTCGTGATTGCGAAGTTGGTAATCCGGGGCATGTTGGAGCTCGTGCATCAGCTGCCAGGCCTTAGTTCGATAGTACCAAATGCTTAGGATCTTCACTACCAAAGCCATCTCCGTGATGGACATGTACAGAACCTGTCCAGCCTGTTCCAAATTACTCGAGATGAAGGCCTCCAGCCACATGAGTCCGATGAAGGTGAAGGTTATGGGCAGGTGCAGCAGGAAGCGGTAGTTGCGCTTCATGAAACCGGAGAAAGTCGACTCCTCGTCTGCTTTCAGAGACCAAGGCCAGAGGCCAAATAGTTGCATGACCCGGAGAATCAGGCTCATGGATTCAATGCGATCCTTGTGGTTGTCCATTGGTTTACGTTTTGTTCCTATTTCCTTCTGGGCAGGTTGGTTTTATAGCTGTAAGTGGGTTCAGTAATTAGCAGCAATTACGTTTACATAATTGGAGGATACTCCGTGTGAAGGAAAAACTTCCTTAGTGTATTCATAACCTTCCTGCCAGTTGGTTTAACTCTTATCCTCGAAAATCCTTTCAGGTGGATACATTTCCGTACCCATTGGGTAAACATATCTGAGCAGCTTGCCCTGCTGGCCATTTTCCTGGGTCTTTGGGCCATGGGTTGGGTTCTGCTGCCGGAATACTCACAGCCACAGACGGTCATCATGCGTATTGCATTCCTTTTCGTGGGCGCCCAGATCTCTGGAATCCTGGTCACCTTTGTCCATTTACCCGATATGCTGGGCATGCTCTTCTTTGGCGTACTCTACGCCAATCTGGGTCTGGCCAATTTCGAGGGCTATCAAAAGTTCGAGCTGTTTTTAAGGTAAGTTTTCATTTAATTTCGAGAAACATTTAATGTGGCTGGCCTCCTTTTACAGGGAAATGGCTCTGATCAACATCATGTTACTGGCTGGCCTGGGGCTGGACGGAGATGCCTTTAAGCGGCTGTGGTTCATGATTCTCCGCTTGACCCTGCTGCCCACAATTGTGGAGGTGGCGGCCATTGCTGGCCTGGCCTACGTTACACTCTCGATGCCCTGGCTGTGGGGTATCGCCTTGGGGTGAGTGGTGGTTAATGGATTACTTGGATTATCGAGAGCCTTAATGGGCCTGTCGGCTTCGGGGTAATGTTATGTGTTACAGCCTGGTCATCACCGCCGTTTCCCCGAATGTGGTCGTCACCGTGATGCTGAAGCTCAAGGAGGATCGCCTCGGTCTGAATAGCGGCATCCATACGCTCATCTACGCCATGACCACATGCAACGATGTGGTGGCCATCTTCTTGTTCGGCGTGATAATCAGCGTAATATTCTCAACGAGTGCGTGCCACCCGTCGCGGACGGAAATCAGAGTCAGAATAAGAGTTAAATAAACCCAAACTCCGCTTACTTGCAGCCTCGCTCACCCAGCAATTGCTGCAGGGTCCCATTGGCATTGGGATTGGACTCGTTTTTGGCTATCTCTACGGCACGATGCTCCAGTACTTGCCGTCGCGCAACGCGGTAAGCTGCCAGACAAAAGGCGCGGACCTAGACGCAGTCCTTCGTCCGCTTTTCGTCCTCCTGCTGCTCGTCCTCAAGCGGGTCTGCACTTAAAATGCACATTCAGTGAACACTTAGACACTCAATCAGCGCATTTAATGATGCAAAACGCGCGCCAGTCTCCAGGGAAAAGCAGTAGGGCGGGGGATGCGCGAGCTGTGCCATATGTACGTGGGGCTTCAGAAGACTGCACTGGGAGAAATGGGTTTTCATATCAAGAATATGAACTCAGTAGGGGGACATTGTGTAAAAGTAGATGACAAGGACTTATCAAACGAAATTACATCCGAATAGAAACGTCCTTAACACCATTGGACTTTGAAAAATGAAAATTGTGAATGCAAGAAATGTATCTCATAGGTGGACTCAACTTTTTCGCTCAGTGCTAGCTTCCGCTCAGTCCCCCTTCTGCGTGGTTGTTTGTGTGGGTGCATTTTGCATAAAAAGACACTTACATGCATAGCGGCAACGGGAACGACAACGACAACGACGACTACAACGGCAACGGCGGAGCTGGCGACATTTGCGACGACAGTTACTGCCAGCATCTATGTGAAGTTATGCCGGGGACATCGAGGCAGCCGCAGCCAGAGCCACAAAACTCATTGCCGCAACTTACACCGCTAATGGCGCGCATAATCAAACGCCATGGGTGGTGGTGCACTGAATGGGCTTGCACCACTCAAACCACCCAAACTTGCCACCCATACACACACACTCACTCTCTCACTCTCCCGTCGAGTTCTCATAACTTTTGTTTTCTGCAAGTCGCGCTCGCCTTTGCCATCGTCAAGTGGCATCCACATCCGCATCCACGCAGGGCTGCAGTTTGTACAAAAATTTCACGCTGAGCGCCGTTGAAGTTGCATCCTTGCATATTTTACATACCTACCAACGCCCACCAACCACACACATATACTATGCATATATATGTATACATATAGCCAGGCTACGGGCTATTCGCTGTCATCTTCCAAAGGGCCAAAAAGGGAGGAGGCTGTCATCAGGCCTCGGTTTCGGTCTCAGCATCTTTTCGCATGTCATTGCTACCGCCTTTATTTTATTATTATTACGCAGTCCCCTGTAATTTTGCATTCAACGTCACCTCTTGCCACTTATTTTCCAGGAGCCAGTTGACAGTATTTTTCAATAAGATGTTCGCGCAAAAGTTTGAAATTCAACGAGGTGGCAGAAACTCAAGTTGCAAAAATTAAATGTCCCGGTGTGAATGAAAAACTTCAAGTTTTACCTATAATAAAACCTAGAAACCTAACGAGGTGCCATCGAAGGCAATTTCATACCAAACGAGCAGTTTAAAGTTTAATAAAAATAACTTGACAATGGCGAGGGCTTGAAATTGAAATTGCAGCAATTTACGAGCTAGTAAGAAAATCACCAGGTAAATGAAAAGATCCCAATCAGTCTCAACACCGTCCAGGAAAACTGACAACTTGACACTGCAGATGCTACAAAATATCCCCAAAATTCCCAACTGAGAAAACAATGTTGCAGGCGAGATTTATCAGATCTAAATCGTTGTAGAAGTCATTTTAGTACAATTTTTGAGAAAAGAGAGAAAAAACAAACTGGGCATATATGCAAAACAAAAACAAAGGGAGAGAGGACAGGATATTTTTTCCCTTCTCTCGTTTTTTTGTTTCTTGTCTTGGGCACACATTGCGTATACGCAGCTGACCGCACACACAACACAAACAATGCAGGCGGGGTAGGGGCGGTAAGGGCGGATAAAAAAGCAGTTTCCATCAGAGTTTTGTAAAGTGATTTTCACCGTTTTTCTTTTTTTCCCGATCCCCCAGCATGCCTAACTCACCTGTTTTGCCATTCACTCTCTTCATATCTGTCTTTTTCGCATCCTTGCAGATGTACGCAAATGGGCTACGTTTCGTCCTTACCGTCTTGGGCGGAACCATAGCCGTGATGGGCAGCCGCGTCATCGGTTATACGTCGGCAGGAGCTCTGGGTTGTGTAACGACCGCCTTTATTGCGAGGATTGGCTGGCGGCGGGAGGAGGCCAGACTGAAGCCCGAGCAGCTGCAGGCCCAGCAAGTTGTGAGTATATAACAGTGAGAGGAAAAAGTTGATCTTTATTGGGATATTCCTTAGGGTCTTGAGATGGTTTTATATAATATCACATATATGGGTAATTTATAATTAAATGCACATCAATTTGATTTATTTTTTAGTTCAACATAACGAACTTTGATTATTTTCCTAGCATATACCCCAAAATTCCTTTCCGTGTACAGAATCTGAGCCTTGTCCAGTCGGCTAACTCTCTGAGCTGGAGACTTTGGCTTTGCCTCCACCTTTGGATTTCTGAGTGCTTTCGGGGTATTGGACCCAACTGCTCTTCCCCATTTTTTTGTGTGTTTTGTTTGGTTTTGGGTCAAGAAAAATGTTCCCTGGCAATAGTGCCATTTTTTATGTCTGTTCCGCTGCAGCAGTAAAAAGCGCCTGTATGTGCGGGATTTTTGCTAGGTAATTTGTGACATCACGTCCTTGTCCCATGTCAGAGTTGACTGCCGGTCCTCGATTTGTTTCGAGCATGTGTGTTGGGCTCTCCTTTTTTTTCGGAGTTCTAGCCATTTACCTTTGCCTTAAACTTTTAACCCAGATGCTGGTTTTTGCACTTCAGCTGCACTTGAGTTTCGTAAGCCGATTGGCTTGATTCCTCTTTCTTAACCTCCGATGTTTAAATGAACTACAAAGCTAGCAATCTAATAACAACTTATTGATTTCTGTTGCAGGCCAGTGTACCGAAGCGTCTGGACCTCATGTGGAAGTTCCTCAAGCCCGTCTCGTTTGCGCTCATTGGCAAGGAAATTAATTTCAACGTGCTGGAGGGCCATGTAATCGGTTATGGCGCATTGTTGGTGCTCGTCGGAAGTTTGGTAATTAAAATGGTCGCCGTCGGCGTGGACGGTGTTGCAACAAATGCTCCGGCCGTCCGACCACTTATTTAATTTCTTTCTGGTTGCTCAAACAGTTTGTGTGTGCGGAGGGCAAAAGCTCAACTCGCCGATGGTCCCCACGGTTTTGGGGTTCGTTCATTCTGCTGCTAAAAACTAAAAAAAAAAAAATAGAACCCCAAGTGGAGATTCCGGCCGTGGGTAGATGGGGGTGAACCGAAATGAAAATGTTCCGGCACCGCAATGCAAATGTTACCTGCACACAAACACACAGAGAGGGAGAGAGCGAAAACCGAGGGAAAAAACCATCTAGAGATGACCACTTTCTTGTTCTTGTTTTCAGTTTCGCCTGGCTTTTGCATATTTATCCACATATGGCGGAAATCTGTCGAGAAAGGAACGTGCCTACATTACAATTTCCGGTTTTCCCAAAGCAACTGTCCAAGTAAGTTTCCCGTTCCGCGTGTCATGTTGCTGCGGTTCCCATTCCCATTCGGATTCCCCAACTTGACTTCCCAAAACCCTCTGCTCCCTGTTCCCTGTTCCCAACTTCATTTTCCATTTTCCATTTCCCATCCGTTGTCTCCTGGCCTGGTGGCGCTTTTTATTTCATTGCCGGCCATTTCACTCGCTTGCCACGAGCAGACTGCCCGTCGTCCTGGTTGTTCTGGTCGTCCTGTCCTGTTGTTTTCCCCATGCTTAAGTTATACACGTATTTGCAGGTCATGTTCTCTTGGCCAGAGTCATTGCAGGTCCTGCTCCTGCTCCAGCTCCAGCTCCTGCGGCTGCAGTTGGCATGCCAGCCTTTTGTTTGCAGTTTAACCGCAAGCGGACATTTTGTTTATGTCGCCTGAGCGAACGAGTGTGCGTCTGTGGTTGCCAGAAATTTAAATGTTCCGCTGGCTTACTTACTTTCTCTCAAAAAAAGAAAAAAAGAAACAGAAGAGAACCAAAAAACCAGAACGGCGGTCACATGTGCTCCTGTCTAACTTTGCCCTAATATGCGGTGCATATTTCTCTGTCCACCTTTTTCCTACTGATTTAATTAAAATTGCACAGCAAACTGCATTTAATCTGGCTGCGCTGCATATCACTCATACGCAGCGGTGGCCGCTGCTTCATTTCAGCCCTACTAATTCGCTTTTCTTCCTCCATTCTTTAGGCCGCCTTGGGTCCAGTGGCTTTGGACATGGCACGTGCTGCCAGCGTGCCCAGTGCCGAGCAGCTGGCTCTGGCCAGCAATGTGCTCATCATCTCGGTCCTAGCGATTATATTCACCGCCCCACTGGGCGCCATCCTCATGATCCGACTGGCACCGTATTGGCTCAAACATGGTGACGCAGTGGAGGCTGTGGACTCTCCAACTACGCCGAGTGTTTCTCTTCCTGAAAACAACAATTCCTCCAAGAGGGCATAGCCGTGGGTTGACCCACGGATCTGCAGATGACCCCTCGGCCAGAAAAAAAAGTTCTAATCCATGCCGTACTTACCTAGCCATCCTAGCCGTACTTATACTTACGTGTACTTAGTCACAATCGGTAATACGCTGTGCAAATAAAAGTAAATGCGAAAACTTACAGACATATTTTCCACCCAAAAAGGTTCCTTTTTCAATTCATTCCCAATCTGAAGTACCTTTTTTTATGGGCGTACAAATTCCCAATTATTTGCTTACTTGTCCAGGCGGGTCCTTAAATTTTCGCCGAATTAACAAAGTTTGGTCTTAATCCTGCAGGACTAACGCCCCAAATGGGCAACTTGGCCAACTGGGATTTTATTGTTTTTTTTCTTCCCTGGGTCCCTTTCCAAATAAGAAGAAAAGCTTTTCGGCACCTAATTATGACTGGATCTGTGTTAATCCCGGGCCTGAGCCCTTGCTAATTGATTTTATAATTAATTTTGGGGGATTTAAATGGTGCTCCGTGTCAATCTGTCGCGAGTTTTTCTGTCATGTCGTATCAATCCGTATTAATGATTGACAATTGAACAAGCTATTATTGCGAAAGTGAAAGCCGTTTAAAGGCTTTCAGCCAACACTTGACGAGTCGGTCAAGTAAATAAATGAACCCGAAATGATTTTGTTATTTTCAAAGAAGAACTGATGGTTTCCCCACTCTCTCTTAGTCAATTTACGCCTGCTGCCTTTGTGCCAGAATCATTTTCCTAGTGCGATGGGGAAAAAAACTCAAAATAATGGGAAAGGGGCAAGAATGCCATTTAATTGAAAAGTGATTGTGGGGCCAACCAGGATCGAGTAGCCGCCGTTGTCCCCCTTAGTCGCCAGGCGATGCAGAATTTGCAATGCAAACGGCTTAGAATGAACTTGATGTCCTGGCCGCCTTTGATGCTTTTGGTTTTTGTTGCTGCTGCGGTCGCATGACAACCGTTGGTACCGGGAAAAAAGTAGCACATTTTTTCCTAAATTGTGACCAATTTGGCTTGCAAGCACTTGAAAAATTTGAAATATTTTGGATTTTATAAACATTTTATTTATATTTTTTTCCATTTAAACAATAATTAAGAGAGCATTTAAATGGTTTCAGAAAGTAAATATATCCAAAGGTCTTTTAAGTCTACTGAACAAAGTAAGTTAAGTGAGTAAGTAAGTAAGTTGTTTCTGGATTAAACAACCAATAAAAACCCTAATTTTCCAAAATATTAATTTAGATTGATATAGAAAGTCTCTCCTAAACTAAAAACTATTTAAACTCCTTTTCCAGTGTAATAGCTGAGCTTCAGCTGTGGCCGGTTGAGTGAATGCTGAAAGGAATGAAATTAAAAGACGGAAAAAAGGACCCAGCGATAGAACTGAGAGAAAAACTTATCATTTTTATTATCCTGCAGCTGCGCATATTTATAATCGCATGTCCCTGTCTCTTTCACATTCGCATTCACCATCCAAGAACCCCCTCTCTTTCTCATCATCATCATCATCGTTGGCCTTTGTGTGACTCGAAAAAGAGTTGGGAATTGAAGGTAAATTAGTGTTATTAAAATGGCTGCACAAAAATAATTGCGCAACTAAATGAAAATTTTAATGAAAATTCTTTGGTTTCTTCCATATTTTGTACCTGAGCTTTTCCACGTTTTTCTGCTGCTCCTGCCGCTACGATTGCCTTTGCCCTTCTGCTTTCTGTTATTAGTTGCATTGTTTCCGCAGTTGATGTCCGTGCAATTAGCATAATGAAACCATCTGCATAGCCGGGATATTTACGCAGCCAGATAAGAGCCGAAGAAACAGAAAAAAAAATAGCATACGCATGGCTGGCTAAGGGCCATAATGAAGTGCGTAAGAGCCCGGAAAAGCCAGATTCGAGCAAGCGGCAATTACGCCACAATTGAGTTATGTTCGCATCACATCAATTATGCTGCCACCGGCATAATCCTTCAAAACTCATTGCTCTTATCGCGGCCATTGAAATGCCACCGGCCATAGATCAACCTTATCAGCGCAGCCAAAGCATTTTCCTGCGCCAAATAAATTTCAGCAGTTTATTATTCTAATTCGCATGCCGAATTCCGGGCAGAAAAAGAACGCCAGGCACGTCACCGCCTCGCACTCAGGCCACCCTGAAACGAAACCAAAAAGCACCTGCAAAATCCACCCAACCACCCAACCAAAAATGCCAACAACAACAACAATAGCAACCACAACCCACTGAGACAGCCCAACCGATACGACGAAAAAGGAGTTGTGCGAGTGCCAAACGAAATCAAATCAAAAAGTTCACAAAAATGCCAGACCAACAGAAATTAAGTTATAAAATTTTAAGGACTATGCGCAGTTTAATTTCCAAATGCCATGCCACAGCCCGCCTTCTACCCCTCTTCATTCTTCAGCCAAACCTCCTAAGACACACCGGTATGGGGGCGGCAGGCGGGAGCGTATTGTGGTTTTTGTTATGCGCCGATTACCATAAAAACACAGCCAAGGAAGAAAGTTGCGTCCTCCTGCTAAAAACCGACGTGGTCGGAAACGGAAATCAAGAAAACAAAAAGAATGGGCCCAAATGAAGTCAAACCTGGCGCCCGCTCCTTCAGTTAATAAAGTTAGTTGCGTTTGCCTTGACGGCCAAAGTTTTGAGTTATAAGCGCGCAAATTATGGCTTACAACAAAGCAAAGGCAATGGCAAAGGCAGTGGCAGTGGCAGAGGCAAAAAAAAAAAAAAATAAACCACAATGCCGAACAAAGGAAAACAATTAACATGACGAAGACACATAAAATTTCCACTTCCATCCGCAGCCTTCTATGTAGTTGGGTGCGTCGAATTAGCAGTTGTATTTGGCTGGCTCGAAATGTGCGTCAATCACGTGATGGGACTCCACTCCAAGCCCTCCAAAACCCTCTAGAAATCCACCTCCATCGGTTGCTTTTCCCCCGGAAAACTCAGCTCTTGTCTGCGTCTTGTTGTTTTGTTAATTTTAATACATGTACTTTTTATCGCTCGGCATTCCCCGGCAAGCTGTTCGCTGAATTAAGCCATTTGTTAGCTGTATCTGTGGCTTAGCTTTTCGGCAACTCCTTCCCCTTGCCAGGATCTCCTCCTTCTCCTTCTTCTCCTATTCCTAGTTCCTTTCGAGAAGGAAAGGCTATCAATGCCAGAGGCTACAGGTCACAGCACATCACAGTTATTTTCGTGCAAATGGCATATTTTTTATGGCTTGTCGCTGGCTTCTTGTTTCTCGTGCTGTAATTAGACAAAATTGTTGACTGCCACGACTCCGCCCAGTGCCCCGCCCCATCGAAAGGTAATCCCAACCCCCCTCCCCACCCGATTGTTCATTCAGAGTCCTTAATTCCGCCACTCATGTCTGAGTCCCGCGCCACTGTTGTTGTCCTGCCGCTGGAGGTGTGTTTGACACTTGGCGTGTCGGGGACAGCAAAAATATTATTCCCGAACAGCGACCATTTCGCTGGGGAAGTGCACTCGGGAAAAATGTGAATTTAAAGAAATATTTTACTAGCGGAAAATGTAAAGAAATCTTTTTAAAAGGAATTTTAACTTTTGCCTTTCAGATCTGTTTCTTTTAATTTCTGTTTATAGAAAGAAATATTCCACTTTTTAAAAGATTATTAAGTTTATCAAAATTAAAGTTGCATTATATTTTATTTCAGCTGATATTAGTAGGACATTAAGCTATACTATTTAAGTTAAGGAACCTTAAAAAAGTATTAACATGTAACATTCTAAGTTTCTGATCATTAATAGCTTGTTTTGCATTACTTTTTAGATTACGAATTTCCCACACTCAAACTGTTAAGAAACCCCAATTTGAAATGTTGTATTCACTGATAACAAAAGCCATCACCACCATAACCATACCATTTGTTTTGCCTGCCAGATTAGACTTGTTTACACCAAACACCTATCAAATTGTTCGCTGTGTCCGAGCACGGGCCTGATCTTTGGGCGAAAGCAGTTCATTGGGGTTTTATTGTGATTATTCAGAGTATGCATGTTTATAGAAAAAAAAGTTCCACAAGTATAATTATGCAGTAGACATGTGTCACGATAGGCGCCGTCGTATTACCAGATTTCCCGACAACGACCACGATGGTCAGGCAGATAGCCCGGTTGGCAGGGGAAATCGATCATGGCCACCATCATGACTTTCTCGGTCACAGCTTGTCCTGCTGGGCTTGGTGGCTCCGTGGACGAGTGGTAGGCTTCCAGCACCTGCTGCTCATCGAGATCGACACACTGGTTGGGCTTGGCCGTGGTCGTTTGGTTGTTAGGACAGGTGATACGATGCAGGCAGTACTTCACGCAGGGACGAGGTACCGGCACCTGGGTAAGCTTCTTTTTGCACTTAAACTGCGCCACACAGCCTTCCTCGATGGCTGGCACATTGTTGTTGATGAAGAATGGACGACGGGGCTCCTCCGTTGTTGTCGTTGTGGTTGTTGTTGTTGTTGTAGAGGTGCTGTCGCGGTGGAAAATCCTACCCAGAATTCCGCCCTGGACAGCGGCCACCAGCAGAGCGGCCAATAAGGCCAACAGAAACCGCTTCATCGCCGACTTGTTTGCACTGCGACTGTCGTTCGACTACAAAGCTTGGCCAGTTTTCAAGAGCGGCAATCAGTGGCCGCCACCCGATAACCTCTGACCCCAGAGCCGCGGTTGGGCGATAAACAGACTACCCGCATCCATCCAAACACACACAAATATATATATATATATATATACGAGTATATATAATTCCATACAGTTTTTCTTTTCATTTTTGGTTGGCTTTAAATTGGTTTATCGCCAAATTGAATTGCATTTGAGGTAAACGGCGGGTTGAGCGGCGAACGGCGAACGGAGAACGGCACACGCACATTTTGGCAAATTTGACACAGGAATTGAATTATCTGCATTCTGTGAACCGCAAAATTGTATAAATAAATATTAGTCAATTCGGTATTTCATACATGTGCACGCATAATTTGCAACTGCCATGGGAAGGCCGAGGGCCAGCCAACTGGACCAGCTAAATATAATAGAAAATAACTAGGCCAGGCCAGGAAACAGGCCCGAAAAAAGTCCAAACGAATTTTCAATGATAATGTCGATGGGCAGCGGCTGATTTGTCAATTGCGCTTTAAGTGGATTTAATTGATAAGGATTGTGTAGTTTTAAAGAGAGTCGTGTTAGTTTCTCTTTTTCTGACAAGGCTGTTGGAAATTTGACTAAGTAATATAGACATAATTAGGCTTGTTACTCCCTTAGTTGGATATTTCAAAAAGTGCTTAAGGCAGTTAGAATGTTTCTGTGAAACCGAAGTTCAACTGAAAGATTGTAATTCCTTGCAATTTGATATTTAATATAACATCTTTAACAGATTGGTATCCCTACAAGCTCAATTTCACCCCGGTATTTAGACTAGATGTTATAGAAACAGGGCCAACACGTCGACCACATCGGATATCGTTCATTATTGTGGACAAAGCAAGCGCCTGCCATTCAATAGACGAATATGGCCAACAATAGCCAGCTAAGCCCTTGCCATGCCGGTGACTTTACAGATGGGCCGTAATGAAGCAGCTCAATATGAGGTCCATCGACGATGCGAAGGCGAACTCCTTTGAAATCCAGCAGCTGGTTGCAAACTATTTGAATAATTGATATTAATCGCTGCCAAGAGCTGTCAAAATTAATTTGTGATGTGTTTTCAAAGCCAGATTATTGATGATGATGATTATGGCCAGGCAGGCCCTAATGAAGGCATCGGCTAATGGAAGTGCTTGGCCTGACAATCGAGCCATTCGCCAGTTCAACGGATGCGCTGAGTAGTTGTCCTCCCCACAGTGGGCATTAATTACACTTCGTCTTGAAGAAATTGATTTGCCTTGGTCGTGGCAAACTTCGACCTCCCATTGACTGGATGGGAAATCGCTTAATATGTATTAACATTTATTGCCGGGCAAACTTTCCAAGCGAGAGAGAAGAAAAAAAGAGAGAAAGAAGAAAGGAATGAATGCTAAGACAACAGCAGGCCGGAAATTGCCGAATACTGATACTTCCGCCGGAAATAAGTTCAATTCTTGTTGTTCACGCTGTGGGTGTTTGAGGTGGCTGCCTCTCTGCCTGCCTTGGAGTAAATTAAGTTAAGGTCTCCGGTCGCACTCTATCAGTCGATCGAGAACATGAAGGACAACGCCTAAGAGGCGCCTCCAATTCCTTCCTATCCTTGCTATCAATGAAAACACATTTCACATTTGTCGTAAGGGCGGCTTAATTGCCACCCACTCCCCCTTAAAAAATACTCACAGCACTCTGCACAATAAACAGATCATAATCTGGCTAAAACTATCAATTTCAAGCCAAACAGAAGGGAATATCTCAATCGCTCAGCCAAGAGACAAAAAAACAAATGAAAATGCTTTACAACATAAAAACAAACTAGAGAAAAATGGGGGTGGGAGGGATTCTGGATGCTGGGGTGGCGATGGCAACGATGTGTTAACACTTAGGAGGACGAACGAACAGTTGGACGGGTGACAATGAAGACAGCCGAAATCCTTCGATAGGTTCTCGGGAGGTTCTGGAGGTCCTGCGACGACGACTGTGCGTCCTCATAGATTTACGCACACTTAGGCAGCGTTTACTCAGTCCTCCAACTTCAAATAGTCGTATAAATTGTTCGGCAGGCGCAACTGTAGCCCGGGTCCGGGTCTTTTTGTTTCAGCTCTCCTCTTTGTCTTTGGCTTTCGGTTGAACTGCTGTCCGGACGGAGTTCTCCACTGGATGGAGGAAGAGCAAGAGTGGGAGGCACTTCCGGGGCGTGAATGAAGTGCCATGTTCTCACGCTCACGCATTTGCCAAGTGCCTGCCGGCCCACATGTCGTATGAGTTTTATGTCCCTCTGTTTATATGACTGTCTCTGTGCGCTCAATCGTTTCTGAGACACATTTATTTGCTCTGCTCGTCGTAGCTGCTTCTACTGCTGCTGCTGCTGCTGCTTCTTTTGTTAGTTTAACAAATAAAATTAGTGCTATAAACATTCGTTTGCAGGGCGTTGTAGAGCTACGTGGCATCATCACAGTCAGTAGCCAAAGGGAACGAAATTAAAGTTTGCCCCTAAAACATCTTAAATACATGACTTTCTTCAAGGCTATCAAGGTATTTATTTATTATTTTCTTAATGACTCTAATCTAAAAGCCCTTGCAACTACGCCACTGACTTCTTCGTTATATATTTGTTTACACAATCGCAACTCTTTGCCACTTCATGAGTTTTTTTGTCTGCTTCTGTGCCCACCCACTTCCTTGGGGGATTTATTGCCACAACGAATCTGTTCTGGTATCAGGGTTAAGGGGTCAGGGGTCATGGGGCCAGAGGAGCTCAAACACAGAAAGGAAAGCCAGACGAGGACCAAGCTTGTATCCCATTTCCGGCTGATGACTCGGATGTTTGTTTTAGCGGCGGCATTCCACTGCGCTGCAGCTCCATCCGAATCCGAATCCGAAACCCTGCCACATCGCAGCGATATTTGCACCGCCGATTTGGTTCTAGCTGGAAGAAATATCTATTAAATATATTTTATATGTGCCGCATATCAAAACAAATGCATTTTGCGCACAAATAGCCAGAGGGCCATATAAAACATAACAAAAGATGCTCAAAGGTAAACACAATGATAAACAGATAAAATGTTGGTAGAGGGAAAATAATGTCTAGACTGGGGGATATCCTATTTTGTACACTTTCAAGTAGGGGGAAGGGTGTTAGATTTACTCTTTTAATGTTTATTTAATCACTCAAATAGTAAATATACCTTATTACCTACTGATTATTGCAAAGTTACTTAAGTTAAAATTGGTAGAAAGAACATTAACTCTACCCTTAGCCATTATAAGTATTTATATCAGCAAATTGGAAACCCCGAGTTTATTTTAAGTCAAAATCGGACTTCAAAGTCATACAACTTTTAGCTGTAATGAAATCTAGCGTGGGTGTATACTTGTCCTCCCTTTAGTTACCCGGCACTTTGTCTTTTTGATGACAAAAAGTGGCCCTCAGTTCAAGGTTCGCTTTTCTTGAAAGCCAAGAACACGTGTCGTTGGACCCATTTAGATGCCTTTAATGGTCTCTTTTTCGGCTGCTAGTGGTTTTCGGCCCGAGGGCTAGACATTCTTTCATTCGTTCTGTTTTTTTTGGTTATCTATACCCATGACAAAGGGCCCCTGTGTTAGCCATTAAAATGGCAGCCATATTTATGATAGGATCTGAGCATGTATGGCCACTGGTGTATGTGATTATACAATTTCAATTTCAGGCAAGTCCAGCCAGACCCAGCCAGGCCCAGTCAGGCACATGATTATAATTCGCTGTCGGACAGCCACTAAATTGCAGAATTCTCGCTTAAACATAGAAACAAATTGCTGCGAATAAATTTTATTATTATCGCAATTGAATTGAATTTGCGATAAACGTAAAAATAATTCGCATGTTGCACATGACCACAGGAGTAGGCGGGGCTGGGTGCAGGGGAATCGATACGGATTTTGGATGGTCAGTCAGTCCGGTCCTCGAAAATCTCAGCCAGTAGGTCGTTTTTGGAAGAGGAGGTTGTGGCAGGGAAGGATCTGTAGCATGTTCCTGTGTGTTGTAATCCCTGCCAAAGCGATTATAGTTTTTGTTTGAATTTTGAATGGGCACACGGCGGGAGGGCAGGAGAGCACAGTAGCTACACCGAACGATCTGCAGTATTTACATTGATGCACTTTAGCCGCATTTTAATTGGATGCTAACTGGCACTCCTGCCCACATTTGGCCGATTAGCGCTGCCCAATGGAGTCCGCAGTTACTCTATTTCCAATTCGAATGCAAATGTTTCTGGCTTTGGCGGCAGGAGAGCGATAACAATGGTTTAGGTTTATGTCGGCTAATTTCACTGCCATGCGGTAAATGGTAATAAGCGTGCTTTTGCATTGCCAGAGAGGGAAAGAGAGCGAGTAGATGGCCATGAACTGGCTAACTGATTGTTATTTATTTTAGTTTTTCCAAACGGCAGTTTGCTCTATAATTTGTCACTGCAGCCGAAGTCATAAAATCCTCCATAGATAAATAGGCCCTAAAGCAAACAAATTGCCCGGTGTTTTATGGTCATCTCATGGACTCTGTGTGTTCGTTGCATATTTGCTGGCTTAAAAGCTAATTACATTTTATTCGAGCAAATATTTGAGGCCCAGGCTCATTAGCTAGGAGGTCACCCATGTTTCCCTCTCTTTCTTCGAGCACCTAACTTTTGCAACCCACTTTCTCCGCTTTCTCCCCTTCACTTGGCTTCACACTTGCCCGCATTCATGTAAAAATCGAGCGGCCATTCAGCGCTCAGCCTCACTTGAGTTCAATTAAAACCGCACTTGTACTTGTTTGCATAACAAACACACTCAGAGCACTCGACACACTCGGCCAACTGGCCAAGCAACCGCAGTGGTCCTGCCCCAGCCACGCCTCCTACGTCCTTCGTTCTTCGGGCCTCCAACCTAGCCGCCCAGCCGCCCAGCTGCCCATAATGCAAAACGAACTCAGTCAAAGGCTGGACG